TAGATAGATAGATAGATAGTACTCCCCTATAATCTGTTCTTCCATCTTACACTTAGAACAGAGGAGCAGGTTGCCTCTGAACACTTGCTAGCTCAGTTTATTCATGGGCCAAGCCTATAGTATCCTCCCTCCTGGTTTTTCCTCCTCTCCACCTTCCTTGTTGCAGCAGCCCAGCTTATGAAATAATAATAAAAAAATTTAAAATAAATATAATGATGATGATGATGATGATGTGCTGTATTCTATTATGCTGGATTTCCCCCCAAATATTCATCCTGTTTTGTGGAACGTCCATTTTTTATTATACAACAATCAATAATGTATAGGAGTGAAAAATGGGCTGAACACATTTTTCTTGCATAAGATCTTCCTTGTCATGCATCCCCAGTAGGAGGGGAGGTTCAGAGGAAATGGGTCAATAATAATGCGTCTAATACTTAACATTTTACACTGAGGATTCTCGGAGGGAAGTTAAAAAGGGAAAACAGCATTTTAAATTTTTGGAGCTTGTCTCACTGAAAAGTGTATGTCATATAGCTGATTACTATAGGTCTTCAATAATTCTGCTTCTTCGTAAGATAAAGAATGTAAACAATTCAGAAGTTCGTTTACAGATTTGATGAGTGTTTCTGTTTGGATACCTAGTCTATGGACCCCAGTTAGCATAGGCATCAGTGCATAAGGAAATGTAGCTGCATTGTGTCAAAGACATAAATTTGGCCTGCTAAGAGCATTTGCCAGAGTGGAAAAGTAAAGCATCAATACAGGATATAATGGGATTTGGAGCTCCAAAAATCAGAGCACCATTGCTGGAGCCTTTTTGTTCAGACCTGCTATTGAGCACTATAGACTAGAACAAGCATCCAAACAAAATTAGACCTAGCTGCAGCTGCCCTATGCAGATCTGCCTGGAGATTGCGATGTCAATAAAAGCTCTGTAAAAGCATTAATGAGAATTTCCATAATTTTTGTTCGTAAAGGTTTTCCTTCCTCTTCGAGATTAGCTCTTTATTGCTATAGAAACTAGGAAGGCGACGGCTCTCATCAGTCACCAGAAACAAATGTAATACAAGGTTGTCTTGCCACGTCTTCCAGGCTCCTTATTTATTAAATTTGTATATTGCCCTTAATCCAAAGATCACAGGGAGGTTCACAACATAAAAATGCTAAATGGGAACACAATGTGCATCATAAACAGAAACAATCCCTTGATGCAGCCCAGCATTTCCTTAAAACATTTAAGTCCTGTGCTAATCTGGTTTGACCCTTCTTGATCTGGAACATCTTGTAGGCAACAAAAAAATTGCAACCCAGTTTATGAGAGGAGGAGGCCAGTGCCTTCAAAGGCAGCAAGCCAAGAGAGAGCTATGGCAGGATGATTAGTTGGGGAAAGGCCACCAGAAGGAAGAGGCCTGAGGAGGCAAGAAAAATTGTGATGGTAAAGAAGGCAATGCGAACCTTTGGTTGTAGCCCTCTAATGCATAACATTTATTTTATTTATTTAAAGGATGCATGTGAATACATAATCTTATTTGTATGCTGCCTTTCCACAGTTCAAAGCACACTCAAGGCAGCTTGCAACATGAACAAATACATCACTACAACGTAACAAAAGTGGTCATAAGCAATATATATATATATATATATATATATACACACCAAACCGAAAAATTTCCACATAAATCACAACAAAATCTAAAATAAAGATACAAAAGAAAAAAGGCAACAACCGCACTCAACAAACTCCTCCAAACAATACCCCTGACCTTCATAAAACACAGAAATAAAACCATGTTAGAGAGGGGCTACAATCTAAGGCATGATTCTTCCTTTGTTTTTCGGAAACAAGTCCCATTGAAATAAATGGAACATAGGAACTTTAGTGGAACCTGGTCCATCTGGCCCGGAATCCTGTTTCCAAAATGCTATATCAAAGGTCTCCAATGCGTAAGTCAAGAAAACTTATCTTACATAATCTCATTTGTGTTACCAGCCTAGGAAAGTGAATAATACTCCTTCTATAAGGCTATCAGGCCCAGCTTCTGAATACACACGATATCCATAATTAAATATTGATTTTACATTCCAGCTACTCATTATCTCATAGTATGCCACATCCTGTGAGCTAAGCAATAATTATTAATTTGTCTAGCGGATAGGGTGTTGACCTACAAACTTAAACCAGGTTAACTCAAGAGATCTTAGAACAAACTTCACAACGTTTTGTGCAAACATTGTATTAGTTTACACAACCTGATGTTCTGGGCATGTAGAAACATGTGGTTTTGATTCAGCCTTTATGGGATTTTTTGTTGTTTCTTCTGACAGAATACTATACTGGTACTGAATGCACAATGTTCCAATAAGTGAAATAATAGAATAGTCTCCCGCTACCTACTGCCTACTTCCAATTCACCCCTTTTCTGTTCTTTACCTTTTTTTCTGTTTTTCAACTATTTTCCCCTGCAGTCAGGAACCCACCTTTATCAAGAACCAGGAACACAGATATAAGATTATAATGTAGATACTATACAGGAGCAGATGGCACAGCAAGTCAGTGCATCTAGCTGGTAACCAGAAGGTTGCTGGTTTGAGCCCACCCAGAAATGGCAGTGGGTAGGATTCCTGCATGGGAGAGGGTTGGACTAGATGACCCCCAGGGTCTCTTACAACTCTACAATTATCTTTGATTCTATAATCTGAATGATCAATACAAATCAATGTTCCACAGTATACCTGGAATTCTGCTGCGCATAGTGGAAATAAAATTGAAATTCCAGAAATATTTAATGGACATCTGATACAGTATTCAAGATGGAGAACAACAGTATTGAAATATTTATATTTTATATTGCAGTAAACAACAGCAATGAAATAGTCTTACCATAAACTTCAAAGCGCCAACAGATTCATCTGATAACCTCTAGAGGCCAACCTTGGAAAACCCTATTCAAATTTTTCAACTGTAATGAAAGAAGGCTTCTTCCTGGCTTGCCGATTTTCTAGCTTACCTTTTTTTTTTTTTGTGGGGAGTATAATTCAGTTGTGAGAGCTCCCCCTGCCCAGTCTGAAGTGGGAGAAGCCAGACGCAAGCTCACCATTCAGTGAGAACCAGAACCAAGAACTACTGTTGTGGTGAAAAGTGGGGCCAGAACTGCTATGAAATAATGTCAAACTTGTTTCTAGGTGCATCACTTATTCTTTGGCATACGATTAGGCACTGAATTATGATGAAAACTGCAATTACTCTCAATTGTAATCAGCAGCTGCCACATCCTGCCATCCAATGTGAAGTTGTTAAGGTGCCCATCATTCTAACTTGTTGTTTCAGGTTGTCATCAAATGGAAGTACAAAACAAGAGTTCCAGGTCCATTTTTTCATAGCTTCTTTGAGCTCACCTCTGTCTATTAAGCGTCTTATGTATGGACACAGAAATGAGTCACTTGGTAAACACAAAGCCATGGGAATATTCCCACCCCTTCTCTAGAAGGAGTGCTTAAAGGAAACACTTTCAGCTTCTTACTGTAGGTTGAATATAAACTAGTATTATATAGGAGGCATGTGGGAGTAATTCATGTCATCGGTGACATCTAAAGTTCCAAACTCAAATGTTGCATTAATTAACATAACACATGTTTTAATATATTCCAAATCTGTTGACAGCTCATCAAAACACTCCAAAGCTGACCTTGCAACATATTTGAGAAACAAGCTTTAGAAATATTGCCCTATCACAGAGTTCAACCGAGTTATTAGCTACATTTTCAGGTGTTACTGGCAGAAAAGAACCAAAGGAATTTCAGTTACGACAACAGTACGGTTTGCTCTTTCAACACAGCTCTAAACCACCGGCCAAATGAAATACATGAAATGTTGCTCATTGCCAATCTCTAACACGGAGATGGATAGTGTTGTAATAGTCTTGCATAAATTGAAAATATGTAGCAATGGCATGGCAAATACTGAGTTTTAGATTAAGGTGGCATGGTTTTAGTGCTCTCATCTCTCAGGTGGACTTCCACACCTGGACAAAAAAATGATGAATTCTGATTAAGTAACTATAATTTAATTTTCAGTTAACATGAATGGCAAGCTAGGTGCTTGGTAGAAATCCACAGCGAATGAGGAGTATTAACAGCCACTAATAGAGATGATCACTTAACTTATGGTTTCCTGCCTTATTTTTCTTGATCGGCCTTATTTTTCTTGATCGGCTATCATTTCACTTATTACTTTATGCTTAAATAACTATCTGAAGCAAAATAGTTATAACAGGCCAGGGCATTTGTATCCTTGGTTCTCTGGAACTCTTGCCCTTTGTCTCGGCTCTGAGCAATAAGCACTGGCAGACGAACGGGGGTGCAGGGGGTGCGGTCCGCCCTGGGTGGCATCCCTGGGGGGGGGGTGACATCGGCATGCCGCCCCCCTGGGATGCTCCCCGCGGGCAGCTAGCCCCATCCCCATGGGTGGCTAGCCCCGCCCCCAGGTGCACAGCCTGTGCGCCGCTCCAGGTGCCGGAGCAACTAGCTCCGCCTCTGGCAATGAGCACGGTACTATTACAAGGAATCAGAGGAATCCAGAATAGCCCAATCTAAGTATCAGGTGCCTACCAAATATCTTCCACACCTTGACCAGAGTGCACAGCCTTGGCCACATCTCAAGCAAGTATATACCTCCATACTCTTAATGAGACATTATGCAAACAAGTTACAGAGGGATTTCTCTAGTGAGTACCTTGCCCTCCTCCCTCCCCCAACTAGAGCAAGGTGCCCCAAATCAGTCTCAACTTCCACTAAAAAATTGCATTGGTGGTTCAGTGGTAGAATTCTCGCCTGCCACTAAAAATTTGCTTAAGCTTTGTAAAACAGAAGTGTTGGATTCTTAATTAATTCAATCACATCAAAATATAATGAATTCAGATTACAGATGGTGCAAAATGTATACCACTCAACAGTTTTCTTATCTAAATGCTTACATGTTCCACTTTCACGGGTCTTACCTCAGTCTATCTTCTTCTTTCTTGCGGAGGGTGAAATCTCGCTGGACCACCTGCAAGACATGCTCCGCTTCATCGTCAGTCAAGCCAGACAAGTCTAGCTTCCTCCCCATGGTTAGTTCTATCTTCAGTGCAATCAATTAACAAAAGGAACCTAAACCACAAAAGGAAACAAAATAAAGAATGTAAAAACTAAAAACTCACTGCAGGTCTCCAGTTGAGCTCCTAAAAATTAAAAAAGAATACTCATTTAAAAACTGGTATAATTCACAAGAGGGTGAATCTTTTTTATATATGTAGAATCAATCTACATCTCAGGCCTACAGTTCTTACGAGTCAAACTGAATGTCAACTTCCAGCTCAGGGAAAATATTCACCAGATTGATCAACAAAACAAAATGTACCTCAAAGCAGTTTCAGGGAGCTGCAGTTTAGAGAAGTTTGCATGGCAATGGCAGGTAGATGCTCATCTCTTTCTCTGCAGTTTTGTTTTCTTACCCCTTCAAGCTGCTTTTCTCCCCATGGTGTGGGGTAAAAAGGTACAGATAGCTGTCCTTTTTCATACCAAGAGCAAAGAGTAGTTTGAAGTGTGTGCCAGCATGGGGGGTGGGGAGCAAAATGTATGGCAAAGACAATATTTTTTAAGCCTATTTTGTTCTCACCAAGGTCCCTTCCGTACAACCTGTTTATTGAGCATTCATCTTGATTTTTTTGCGGAGAACTTAGATGGCATTGCATTGAGTGTTATCCGACACTTTCCAGTGCATTTTCCTGCCATTTTGCTTATCCTAAAAAGTCCAATCTTTTTGCCTAAAGGGTTTGCTGTGCAAAAGCTCCCAATCCACTTCAACTGTGAAACCGAGTTCTGGCACAGTCTAGAACTGCCCTGCTGAATCTGTTTCTGAAATGTTACAGTTCAAAATGTCTAATGCTCCTCTCTCCCTAAAAAACAAAAACAAAAAACCTTCACATAGAAAACTAGTATGTTAGGATTATGTTCAGGATTATAGGCAACCATTTCCCAAGATATTCCATTATACTGTACAGTGGTACCTCAGGTTAAGTACTTAATTCGTTCCGGAGGTCCGTTCTTAACCTGAAACTGTTCTTAACCTGAAGCACCACTTTAACTAATGGAGCCTCCTGCTACTGCCACGCCACCAGAGCACGATTTCTGTTCTCATCCTGAAGCAAAGTTCTTAACCTGAGGTACTATTTCTGGGTTAGCGGAGTCTGTAACCTGAAGCGTATGTAACCCGAGGTACCACTGTACTACCACCCAACTCAATCAGTACTCTGTATTCACTAAGCATGCTCAGTCTTCATTTTTGTGTGTGTGTGGGGGGGTCCTTTAAAAATAAATAAATCACCCAGCTGCAAACCTTGTATATTTTGTTATAAATTATTATTTAGTTATGGGCATGTGGTTTAAATACTTATGCATGTTGTATTTTATTGAATATTTGTATGCCACCTTGAATCCTTTGAGATGAAGGGCAGTTTTAAAGCGTAACAAACGCACGATTTGGGGGTTCCTCCAAGCTTACTGAGACCTCCGCCGTGCAGGTGGACGGACCTGTTTCAACTATGAAGAGATCCACACTCGAAGAATGAGTTTGCTGTTAGTAAACAGGAAATGCTACATTTGGAAAGTGGCTTAGAAATTTCCTTACAATCAGGTGCTAGATGCCAAATGCAAGTTATTACATGCAAGATTTGGAGGACAGAAGTAATCAAAGCTACTTAATTCTGAACAAGAAACTGAGACTGCTCAAGCACTTTGAGTAGTGCTGCCTTAGCCTTTGATCCTCAAGGCAATTCAATAATAAGCCTGTCCATAAAGCTAGAACTAATGAACACACAAAACTCCAGTAAAAATGCACACACACACACACACACACGGAAATGAGCATGAGTTGTTTAATTACTCTGGGGGGGAAACCAAATTCCCAGTTCCCATTTTTATTTTCCCCACAGTACTGGCTATTAATTTATGTACATAGCCAACAGAAGAAGGCACCATGAGTGAAATTAGCGGGGGGGGGGGGGGGTTGGATTTCAATATTACTGGCAATACAGTGGTGCCTCGCAAGACGAAATTAATTCGTTCCGCAAGTTTTTTCTTCTTGCGAGTTTTTCGTCTTGCGAAGCACGGTTTCCCATAGGAATGCACTGAAAATCAATTAATGCGTTCCTATGGAAACCGCCTTCAGACCAGGTCCGGGGACAGTCTGTCCCCCGACCTCTTCTGAAGGCTGGGGGGGGGGACAAGGGCTTTTCTTCCCACCCCCAGCATTTTAAAAAAAACCCGGGACAGCGGAGGGCTTCTCCGCTGTCCGGGGCGATCTTAAAATGCTGACGGGCGGCATTTTAAGATCGCCCCGGGACAGCGGAGGACTTCTCCGCTGTCCGGGGCGATTTAAAAGCCCCTGGGAAGGCAGGCAGGGGGGACAAAGACTTTTGCCCCCCACCAGCCTTCAGAAGAGGTCCAGGACCTCTTCTGAAGGCGGGCGGGGGGCGAAAGTCTTTGCTCCCCCCCCGCCTGCCTTCAAAAGCCCTCCGGGACAGCGGAGAAATGCGCCGCCCGGGGCGATTTTAAACCTGCTGTCCCGGGTTTTTTTAAAACCTCTCCGCCCCCGCCGCCCGGCTTCGGAGCATCCTTCCGAAGCCGGGCAGCGGGAGGAGGTGTTCCCGCCCCACCGCCCGGCTTCGGAGCATCCTTCCGAAGCCGGGCGGCGGGAGGAGGTGTCCCCGCCCCGCCGCCAGGCTTCGGAGGAGGTCCGAGGACAGTGGGGAAGACGCGCTGCGCTTCCCCGCTGTCCCGGAGATTTCCCTATGGGCTTTCGTCTTGCGAAGGAAGCCCATAGGGAAATTCGTTTTGCGAAGCGCCTCCAAAACCGAAAACCCTTTCGTCTAGCAGGTTTTCCGTCTTGCGAGGCGTTCGTCTTGCGGGACACCACTGTACAGTGTTCCAGATCTACACACAAAAAAGCATGAAAACAAAAGAACAGGCACATTAAGCAAACACTAACTTTAGCTGGTGAAAATGGGAGTGACCAGATAATCTGGTCCACCTAGGTCAACAGTTCTGCCAGTCATCATCATTTAAGTTCCATGAACATTATTCAGCTTCGGCTCATGTTTGCAGGGCCAGACCAGGACTGATGCAGTTGCTTATGGGTCAGAAGATAATGAGATGCAGAGCTGACCATGTGAGGTAAATGGCTAATAGGCAAGGACAGTGGTTCCCAATTGGGGGTCTGTGTAACCCACCCAGGGGGTCTGTGGCATCATTCACATAACAAAAACTACCACAGTGGTATCAAAATTTTCAGAAGTTTGGCTTTTGAAAAACAGGGGGTCTGCAGTACTTAGCTAATTGGGAATCACTGGGCTAGGATATGGGAGAATAAGTGAGTCATCTTTTTCAAAAGTCTCCTAGCTTACTGGTCATGTACCTGCAACCATGCCCTATTTAACAGTAGTAGTAGTAGTAGTAGTAGTGTATTTATACCCCACCCATCTGACTGAGTTGCCCCAGCCACACTGAGCAGCTTCCAACATATATAAAAATATAATAAAACATTAAACATTAAAAAACTTCCCTATACAGGAAGTATATGGTTTTCCCAGTAGTGATGTATGGAAGTGAGAGCTGGACCATAAAGAAAGCTGATCGCCGAAGAAGTGATGCTTTTGAATTATGGTGCTGGAGGAGACTCTTGAGAGTCCCATGGACTGCAAGAAGATCAAATGTATCTATTCTGAAGGAAATCAGCCCTGAGTGCTCACTGGAAGGACAGATCCTGAAGCTGAGGCTCCAATACTTTGGCCACCTCATGAGAAGAGAAGACTCCCTGGAAAAGACCCTGATGTTGGGAAAGATGGAGGGCACAAGGAGAAGGGGACGACAGAGGACGAGATGATTGGACAGTGTTCTTGAAGCTACCAGCATGAGGTTGACCAAACTGCAGGAGGCAGTGGAAGACAGGAGTGCCTGGTGTGCTCTGGTCCATGGGGTCACGAAGAGTTGGACCCGACTAAACAACAACAACATACAGAGCTGCCTTCAGATGTCTTCTAAAGGTTGTATAGTTACTTATCTCCTTGGCTCGGGGGGGGGGGTGTCACATTACTCCTCCAATGAAATTAGGGACGTCCTAAGAAAAAGGATCAAATCAGAAACTGGGACAGCTTCTGTAAATTCAGGACTGTCCCTGGAAAATAGGGACACTTGGGAGGGTCTGCATAGCTTCCCTAACAAAATATATGTCTTGGTAACTCTGCCACTGGAAGAGTCAATAATAATTAAGGGCAATTATGGCTTGGGAGGAAAAACTTAAAAGGAAACATAAGAAGAGCCCAGTTGGATCAGAACAAAGGCATGCCTAATTCAGCTTCCTGTTCTCACAGTGACCAACAAAATGCCTATTGGGAGCCCAGAAGCAGGACATCAGCATTTGGAGGACAGTAAGATTTTAATAGGGAGCTGCCTCTCTCTGGAGATCTGATGTGAGACACTGGATTCAGCTGCCTGCTCTTCCAAGCTGTGCCTCCACCACCTACGCTCTACCTATTTATTTGTAAAATAATTGTTTGTTTGCAGATAACTCAAATATTATAAAAACACTGCTAGCTGCCAGTAACTGAAGGAAATGGAATCTGGGTAACTGCTTTGCCCCTTAAATTCTCTTGAAATCTTTTAATCTGGCTGCTTTGCTCCTACAACTCCAGTTCCTGAAGTGAAGCTCTAAAGGAACACTCTCCAGAACTTTAATCTAGACATGCCTGTTTCTGCACCTTTTCCAGCTCCACAATATACTCATTGGGATGCAGTAATCAGAACTGTACGTGGTATTCCAAGTATGACTGCACCATAAGGCATTATGCTACTGGCAGTTTTATTTCTGAACCCCAAAAGAATCTATCTTTTTCGCAGCTGCAGCAAACTGGGTTAATGTTTTCATTGAGGTCCACTATGACTACAAGATCCATTTCCTGGTCAGTCAGCCACTAGTTCAGCCCTCATCATCCTATATGTGATTGTTTGCCCCAATAAGCATCACTTTCCTAGAAAAAGAGGTGCCAGAACTCACCATGAACACCTCCCTTG